CGAGCTCCTGTCGGGCGGGAGGGAGCCGAACCGGTGGCTGCAGCACGGGCCGCGGCGCCTGGCCCGGTCTTCCCCTGCCCCCTCTCAGCGTACACTCCCCGGCCTGTCGCAGTGCAGCGTCCCCACCCTCCCAGCGTCTTGTCTCTTAGCAACCAGGTCCTCCAAGCCGATCCTAGGTGACCAACTCCGAGTCCAGAAGAAAGGGGGAACATGGGAGAGAGAAATGAACTCGAACAAAGGGTGGACGAAATGGTTTTCGGTACAGGTCCCTTCGGTAGCGCTGCTTGAGTTAGGTAGAGGCAACATTGTATGATCCGAGGGACACGAAGAGTGTCCTGGGTTAAGCATTGTCTTTATCAGGAGGCATCTTTTGGGGGGAAAATGTAAATAGCTCTGGGTTGCAAATTCAATTTTTTAAATGTATTTTATTGATTTTTTACAGAGAGGAAGGGAGAGGAATAGAGAGTTAGAAACATCCATGAGAGAGAAACATCAATCAGCTGCCTCCTGCACATCTCCCACTGGGGATGTGCCCACAACCAAGGCACATGCCCTTGACCAGAATCAAACCCGGGACCCTTCATTCCGCAGGCCGACGCTCTATCCACTGAGCCAAACCGGTTAGGGCACAAATTCAATTTTTATTCACATTAATAGGTTCAGCATGTGTATGCTATTGTGAATATTGCCACTGGGAACCTCCTAAGGCGTATAGAGCCCAGTCTCGTAGGGTAAATACTACACACCACGTTTTAAATTTCCACTTGGAATCTGTCTATTCTGAGAACCAAAAACTAAATGTCACAGTTAGAAAGGACAGAGAATGAAAAGCCCTACCCAAATGAATGATTACTGCCATGAGACCTGATGATGAAGTGGCTAACTGCACAGTTTTTCCCAATTGTGTCACCTGTGACTCTGCAAATCTTTTACTATTTTTGTTCCACAAAGACGTTAATTAAAGTTAGGTAAGTTTTGTACCACAAAGATACCAGTTGGTACATTCGTAAGAGAGACTGCTTGTTCTGTACTTCCTCTTTGCCCTCTCACGTGGGCTGCAACCCAGTTGTGACCATAGGGAGCCCGTTTAAACTATGAGAACAAGGACTCCTAAGGGATTGCAGAGCAGTAAGTAAGGGACCTCGGCCATGAATTACCTTGTGAAGCAAAGTTGCCTTAGAGGCCCTAGACTGCCTGTCTACCTCTGGACTATTACATGAGAGGAAAGTGTTCATCTTGCTTTAGCTACTGCATTTTTTTTTTTTAAAAAACCTATTTGTTACAGAAACTTGATCTATATGGCATTGGCAGGTAGAAACACATTGCAGGCTGGAAGGGTGCTGACTCTTCCCAAGTGTCACGTGTGTTGGCTGCCTCTCCTTGCTTTTAGCAAGGTTCAAGAAAAAGAAAGGAAATCAGTCCAGAATTAACCAGTTTGCAAGTAGACACATTAGAGAATAGTCGCAACTACTGGAGCCCACCCGTAACATCTGCTCCAGCTGTTGATCCACATACCAGTATTACTATGCATCTCTGGGGGATCAATTCAGGTACTTAATGTTTGAGGTTTATCCTCATTTCTCTCCAGTCTCTTCTAGAATGATATTCATTTATAGAATGACAGGGCCAGAAAGGATCCTTGAAAAATCAACTTCTTCAATCTTTTTTTAAAGAGTGAGCCTCTACACAACAGTCTAGTTTCAAGGGTTATATGCTACCCAGACCTCTATTATTGACTTCATTACCGTAACTTATTTTTGAAACATTTTTAACTAGTGAAATATGAAACTAAAAAGGAACTCCATTAGTACTACAAAAATTATATATACACTCAGATAAATGTTTATGGATAAAAGACAATAAAAATGCAATGCCTTTTGGACTCCAGCTGGTACCAAACATCACTGCAGAGCACCATTTAAAACTAAATAATGTGCCCAGCTGGTGTTGCTCAGTGGTTGAGCATCAACCTATGAACCAGGAGGTAAGGTTCAATGACCTTTGGATTCCCGGTTGGATTCCCGGTCAGGGCACATGTCTGGGTTGTGGGCTCAACCCAGTAGTGGGCGTGCAGGAGGCAGCCAATTGATAATTCTTTCTCATCATTGATGTTTCCATCTCTCTCTCCCTCTCCCTTTCTGTGAAATCAATAAAAATGTTTAATAAAACATGAAATAATGTAACTTCATGACAAGGCAAAGAGCTGTATAAAACAACAAAAAGGAATAAAATGTGGAAAAGTAAAAGATAGATCAATAAGCACATTTCCTTTATTTGCTTCAAGTCTGGAAGAAATCATGTTGGAGACCATAATCACTTCCCAAATGTCTCTGATAAGTTACTATATCCCAGTGTGGAATTCTTTTTACTACCCAAAAGTGGGCTCTTGTTCACAAAACTCCCTTAAATTAATATGCCTCATGTTCAGACTCCAAGTCCCACGTGGTGGAATCACATATGTGTTTGTGTGGGTGGCAGTTCTATGTCCAACATAGCAGAATCTTGACTGCTTACTTCTGAACAATATTTCCCCGTCCCTCAATATCTGTGCTAGCAACAGGCGGAGAATATCCCACTCTTCTAATAGGATGTACAAGAGAATATCCCTGTTCCTGAAGGGCATTGTCCCACATGATCCCCTTGGCAGGTCATTGGCCTTTACTTCTTTTTTCTTTCTTTAAATATATTTTTATTGATTTCAGAGAGGAAGGAAGAGGGAGAGATAGAAACATCAATGATGAGAGAGAATCATTGATCGGCTGCCTCCTGTATGCCCCCTACTGGGGACTGAACCTGCAACCTGGGCATGTGCCCCTGACTGGAATCAAACCCGGGACCCTTCAGTCCACAGGCTGATGCTCTATCCACTGAGCCAAACCAGCTAGAGTGGGTCTTTGGTCTTTAAAGATAGCAGCTGATTCAAACTTGCAGATAACAATTAACAATGCTAATCACCTTTAACAAGAACCTTTACTATATGTCAGTTGCTCTTCCTCCCAACAACTCTAAGTAGATATTATTTAGAACTTAATGAATATTAACAAGTTTCCAAATGAAAAATGTGTTAACCATTTATAAGTTCATTTTGGTTGGATTTAAAAAATTTGTGTTTTCACATACAAATGGAAAAACAGTAAAGTAATATATGTTTAATCATTAATACAATGGTTGAGGAGTGGATTTTTCTTTTTTAAAAAATATATTTTATTGATTTTTTACAGAGAGGAAAGGAGAGGAATAGAGAGTTAGAAACATCGAGGAGAGAGAAACATCAATCAGCTGCCACCTGCACACTCCCCACTGGGGATGTGCCTGTAACCAAGTTATATGCCCTTGACTGGAATTGAACCTGAGACCCTTGAGTCTGCAGGCTGACGCTCTATCCACTGAGCCAAACCGGTCAGGGCAAGGAGTGGATTTTTCCAATCAATTTATGAGTTTAGTTGCCATGTACCATATATGGATGAACATTTTCAAACAATGTTGCCACAGACTAAAACACACACGGAAAACTACATTGTTATAAATATGTCTGCTTTTTCCCCCTGAATCAGAAGGCACTAAGGAATCTTCTTAAACCTTAAAGCAGAAGTTCCCAAATGTCTGTCTTAGTTTAAGGACCTGTGAGAATCTGTGGCAAATGGGAAAAAATATAAAATGTACATGCGTACAGGTTTATTAAGTTATTAGTAGAAATTATGCCTTCTCTACTTTCTGGTGTTAATATCCTTTCTTCCTTCCTGGTTTCTCCTTACATCCCATTAAGAATATTGAGTTTCCCAGCTAATTTCAAACTAAGGAGTAGTTTTTTACAAAGTAAATATTATTAGTTTTTACAAAGTAAATATTATTAGTTTTTACAAAGTAAATATTAATAGCTAAAACATCACAAAGAGCCCTAGCTGGTTTGGCTCAGTGGATAGAGCATCGGCCTGGGGACTGAAGGGTCCCGGGTTCTATCTATTCCGGTCAAGGGCACAGGCCCGAATTGTGGAATGGGTCCCCAGTAGGGGGTGTACAGGAAGTAGCCAATCAGTGATTCTCTCTGATCATTGATGTTTCTATCTCTCTCTCCCTCTTCCTTCCTCTCTGAAATCAGTAAAAATATATTTAAAAAAATATCGCAGGAGGAGAACCAAGATGGTG